TCCATGTGTCCAAAAGTACATGAATATGCACTATACATCAGTCACACACATGCTACTTGCCCTCCCCCAAAATGTAAAGACAGGGGTCTGTATAACAGACAGTGACAGAGAGGGGGGAAGGGATGGGAGAGGTGAGGAGAGGACAGGCTGGGTGTCTCTGTTTGGTAGATGGTTACATATTAAGACAAGCAGTCACTGTGGTTTAACTAGATCAACATTTTGTTCTGCTTTGTCAACATCCATTTAATAGAGGACACTGCCCACTGTTAACTAATGTCTGCTGAAGAAAGTACATTGGGAACAAAATTTAAAACTCATTTTCTTAACACTGATACCGTTGATGTAATGAGGCAACATCCAAAAGCTGCTACAGTGACAGACTGACAGGGGCAGCACCAGGCCTCCACAGTGTGGTCTGTACAGACCAGTCAGTCTTTGTACTTTTCTGGCCCAGATGAAATAAAAACCAAACACATACCAAGAAGTCTCTGGATGTTTAACAAATAAATCATGAAAAGAAAATGAAAGGCTGCTTATACAGTTCATTCACCTTAACCCTACATTAATACACTGCCTTAGATATGAAACACGTGTACAACATACTGCTGTCCCAGAAACCTTTTCAGGCTCAGACTGTAGTAGTAAATCATTGAGCCAGCCAGACTGATGTTCCCACCATATGGCTACGACATCAGTAGATACCCTTCAGACAGCATGCTCATCCGCCAACCCACATGCAACAGCTTTATGTAAAAAGGATTATAATAACTGTTAGGCTTGGCCTTCGAAGCACAAAGCACCCACATTCATGGAGCTTTTGTCATCGCCTTGTTCACATCACTTTTCTGGCAAGATGACAATCAGCGGCCGAGGAGCAGACAGAGCCATGATGAGACGGACACTGGGGTATTCAGACTGGTTAATCACGTCCTCTATGAGGGATCGGGGATGGACATGTGATGACAAAGATCTGTGATCACATGCAGAATCCATCAAGTTACTCAGCAGTCTTCATGTGCTCTATAAACCTGAGCTCAGTCGACCAACGGATCGTGTGATCGCTGCACAAATAGAGTCACCACGTTTCACTGGGCACCACTGTATGATGACACAAGGGGCATGTAACGTGCTTTGTGCCTGATTTATCTATGAAGGACACAAGAGCTGTGACAGTGAGCTACAGTGAAATGCAGATGGACACCACTGTTGGTCTTGTAGGAAGCCTGCCCTTGCCCATTTGAATCTTACATTAAAGATTATTTTTATGATCAAATCAGTCCAACAGTGGAAAAATACGTTTTTCCCAGATAACACCAATTATTTTTTAGATATTATAGACCAATGTCACAAAACTATTTCTTTTTGCATCTGTATTACAGACCGCTTACAGTTTACTAGGCCTGCTAGTAACAACTGTGGCTCCACATCGAGCCCCTACAGTATCCCAGAATACATCACAGCACACCTCCGCACATGAAACTCCTTTTGAATATTACATTACAGCTACAGTAAAGCACAACAGGACCAAAGAGTCGCACAGAAAGGAAACTGGAATATGTTGTTCGACTGTCTCTGGAGAAATAACACTGGGCCTTTTTGGAAGAGCACAAAGTCCTGAATTTCACCACACCCTGTCAATACATGGACGCCACTCTGTGACTCCCTTTTTGCCAGTGTGTGGTCCAGCGACGTTTATTAGTTCATCAGTGATGTCCTGTAAATACACTCTACTGATTCCTACCAACATGCTCCATAAAAACACAATGTACCTCACTGTTCTGCACTACAGAGGTATCATGGGAAATAGTTGAATAAACAGAAAGACGATCTGTTAGGGAAAAAACAAGCCTCTCTTCGTATCCATCCATGCTTCCCATTTTCCTACCCTATCCATCATCCACCCATCTTAACCCACCTCCATCTCTTTGGGATCTCCAATCAGCCATTTTATGACACTCCGTTCATCATGTGAACCAGTGTGGGCATGATTGAACTAGTGGTGGATGGTACATACACCTGGCTGCTGCTTTCCCCACAGTCTGCAGCCCAAACATCTTATGGCCCCGTGGAGCATCTACACTCTCCACAGGGATTCAGGGTGGAAACAGCCGGTGAACCCTTCATCCGATGAAGGGCCAGGGCTGTGTCATGGCGCCTTCCAAACCTGGCTGTGTAAGGAGAATCAAGAGTGTAATACAGTGTCGAAGAGTGACGGCCTGGGGGGTGGTATGCTAATGTACTTTCAGCTTTGTTCCCGCTGCTACAATCACTATACATTCATGGGAGTCTGACAGGGGATTTGTGAACTCCATAAATGTTGAATAACACGCCAGCTCTCACACAGACAGGCTGCAAAAGGAGGCCAATAAACAATCCACATGGGGGGGGGGGCTTTTAAAACTTCATCAACGCTGATTTTGTTTCCACTCTAAAATTCTATTTCTAAAATAAAATTTGGATAATAAAATGATCTAATATCCAGAAAATCTACACTGTTACGTTAAATACAATAAGCCAAGATGGACGGTGCCCAGGGCACTGCACAGGAGACGCGTTTCATCTCCGCCAAGCTTCAAAGACACTGAAATGAGCTGCTTCTGACAGAGCAGGTAGGTTGTTACTGTGCCAAGAAGCTGTCCTGACTGAAACACACAGGCAGCCCTCACTGACACTCACTGCTGGAGGATTTACTGTGTTTGGACGTCAAAGACTAAACAAAGTCACATTTACTAAACTGATAAGTAATTATTGTGCTTAATTTTCAAATACTTGACCAGGTTAATTACAGTATGCGAGTTAGAGTCTAGACAAAAAGTTCTATTTATTTTATTCTTAAATTCCGAGCAGGCATAAATAATCCTTTTTCAGAACTGACATTTCCAGTTGTCTTAGTAGAAAATGAGATGAGAGACTGATGGTTCTGTTCCACCGACGGGTCCCAGTAAGACATGACAGAGTGACAGTGAACCAACATGCACACAACCTGTATTGTGAGAACAAAACAGCTAAATGGAGCTTTTCCTTTGTCAGCATGTCTTGGTGAAAAGGTCCTGCCTGTAACCTGGTGCTAAAAGTACAGTTCTGTAGTTAATTACATTCTCACAGGTGATTAAATGGCAAAGAGCTGCACATTCTGAGACTCAATTAGTGCTTAAGATTCAATATTGGAATAAACATTCACAACATTATTTTTAATTCTGCAGTTCGACATTTACCGTGAGTTTTCATTTCCTATTTATACAAGGCCAAAACCTCTGATCCTAAATATCAGCCTCTGAAGAAGAAAACCAGCCGTGACCTTAGTTTCACCTCCGTGCATTTGAGATTATCCAGCGTATTTTGACTCCGATCCAGCTGTAAAAGTAATTATTAATACAGGCTAGTTCAATTAAGGGCATCAGAGTGTGGCTGTATGCACCTTCCTAATGCTGAAGTAATTAGTTTTTAATAAATGCTCTGACTCAACTGCTAAGATGCTGTGACTGATGAATCGCTGACAAAAGAGCCCACC